CAAATAATGCGAGGGCGGCCCCGACAATCAACTGCAGATGCAAGGCCCCGACCCCTGCCCCCTTACTATTGTGCCACCTACTATTACGACTACTACGATTGCACCAGTAACGATTCCATTGTCTATCAGTTCCTACTCCATTTGACGCGTTGCTATTATGATGTTGTGTTGCACTACCCTACTCTAGTTTACCCAGCGCTCCGCGTCTCGACTCTGTGCCGCGCTGGTTTAACGCAATCGAACCTAGTTGTTCTGCAATCCAAGCTGCACTGCGCCAGTTAACACACATCTATCTAGCTTCATCTACGCTACTCGACACGACTCGATTAGTCAATAGGTTATTTCATTACAAATGTTATAGTCATCTTTGTTCGTTGCGCAATTCGAAGCGACGATATTCTACTCTTGTTTACAATGGCGTATAGTGTACATCACCACTACTACCACCACCGTTGCCATATTCTATCTGCACAGTCATCCTACCCCTGTCATGCTCGAACACACACCACTCTGCGACACTCTAGGTTGTACTAGTCGGGTATGCAATATGCCTTGGTGTGCCCCATGCTACACTACACCGATGGATGCTAATGCCGATGCGGCAATGTGCGTGTTAATGGCATGTTGCTGTTCATATGCGCCTCTCCGAGCCGCGGTACACTGATCGCGGTCGCCTTTACGCTGTCACATGTCTTTATTTAGCCTTCTGCCACGGGCCGACCTGAGGCCTCACTGGAAAACACCATCGTAGTCAAGATAACCATGAATCAATGCAAAAACTGCGTGGGCAAACTAGGGGGCAATGCAACGCACACGTAAAGCAATGTGCACCTACATAAACCACATCGGGAACTTGCAAGTGAGCGTCAATACGCCAAGGCAAACATGGCCGCGCAACGCCAGACCCGAGACATTCCTGTGATCGCACGCAGTGGGGCAGTGTTGCTAAGAGTGGGCTGGGCCTCTATAGGCCAGCCTATTCGGAGCACAACGGGAGAACGCCACTGTTCTGACATGTCGGCACCAATTGCGCGCGCCAATCGCCGCAGTCAGCGGCTGGCCCGATCACGCGGATCAAGCGCCGAAGAACGACATGAAACGCGCGACATCACAATTATGTCCGACAGTTGCCAAGCACTGGAGGCGCATACTCATGTCAACCCCCGCGCCCGTTGCATTGCTTCCCCATTGCGATGCCAACTCATCTGGTCGCCCGTCATACCTCCCTTCCCCGCCCATCACCCCGCAGGTCCTGGAACAAAATATCCTCGGACCTGCTGTAACCAGTGCGTCTGACTAGAAAACGATTCACCGTCACCAAGAACTTATCGTCCCCCCGCGCGGCAGCTTGAACGTTGAATGCTGAATCACAATCACGGGGAAGGCGGATAGCAGGCAACTCAGAGGATAAGGTACCACCCCAACTACTTGCATCAACCATCTTAGCAATTGCTGAAATCCAAGTTTTGCACACCCTCATGGCAGCAACTCCGCTGTTACTGGCGCGCATCACTGCAAACAGCACGCAATGGAACGGAACGTGCCGAACTGCGTCCAGGCGGGGCAACTCAATTCCAAGATCATGCCACGATGCAGCACGCCCCACATACGCAAGCACAACCAGAACAGACCCTGAATCCATGTGGCGCCCGTGCACTGGCAGCCAGATGACGTCGCCTAAGTATATTGTAAACGCCCCAGGAAGCACGTTGTCTAGCTGCTGCAGAATAAGAAAAGACGCCCTAACTAGAGAGAGGACTCTCGACTTCCACTGCAGGATCCACGACAGAAGGCCTAGGAAATACAGCACCGAGCACATAAACATCCTGAAGAGCGGGCGACGGCCATTGCTGCATGTGCCCGCGATTGGTTCAGCGGCAGAGCCAGATTGCACTAAGCTTCTCAAAGGCTTGTGCAAGTGAGATGGTGGAACCCCCAAGCCTTCTAGAAACTGCCACATACGTACGTTATTGTTGTTAACCATGAGCGCTAGCGACCCCGTGTCAGGCAGACCGCCACTCATTCCTTACGAAGTGAGCGCAGGTTTGCAGGCTGGCTGGGCGGCGGTGTTGCGTTTGTGGGCAAGTTTGGCTAGATAGGTGGCTATGCTGGTTGGGTTGGTTGGGCTGGCTGGTTGGGCTGGCTGGGACAGTTGGGTTTGACCAGCGCGCACTCCCGTTTCGCTCCCCGACGCGCGCATTATTTTGTTAAATCACGTCGGCGCGTTTGGGCTATAGCTACTACTCGGTGAAACGTGGATGCGCGACCAAATGAACAAGCGCAGGGGGGAAGGGGGGGAAGGGGGGGTCGGAATCTGTCTCGACAGAGCCACTGTCTATATGCCACAAAGCCGTGATAGAGATGACGTGTTCATATTCGCATTGGTTGGCCAAGTCCGCGCCTAGTTTAGCAATCGGCAGTGGGAACGTATGATGGCGCGAGCTCTCAGACTGAATCCACTCAACGTCCATGTTCCACCATCGCCAAGAATAAGAAAACGCGTCGGGTGCGCAGCGTTCAACAAGCCCACTGTCAATCTCAAACGTGCGGTTCACATCTACTGGCAGCCGCGGTCGAATCCCACGAGCCTTTTGGCCCGAAGTGGCGTGCAGCGTTGTTTCTTTAAGCAACCGCCTCACCACCCAAATTATGCAACGAGGTTGTCCCCCCCCTTCCCCATATTCTTCACCTACCCACGCCCCTGGGGAAATTACATTGCCTAGGGCTGCCTCAGCTACGCACCCAGAACAATGCGTGACCGCGCGCCCAAACCAACTACAAACAACGCGGATATGGGCCCTGGATGAGTTGGCGAAAGCACGCGAAGCGTTCCGAAGTGGAAACGGCACCCTGTCTCTGAGCACATCAACAATATCCTCCAAAGCGGACCTGGTCAGCTTCGTCCGCTGATCGTCCACTCGCCGCGCAAGAAGGGTCAGCACAAACTTAAAACCATCTTCAGATCTTTCCGCTCGGAGTTGGAGAAATTCGCGTTCAAATGGCTCCAAATGCGTTGGCAGGGCCGCCAGAACTGCCATGCTGAGCCAAATAGGCCCCAGGCTGAGTGGCATGGAATGGGGGGGGGGCTGGCTGGCGGGAATGCACTGGAAGGCCATGCGCCAGTGCCAGGGCCAATCTGTTTCACCAGCAATTCAGGGGCAGGCGGTCAATGTCGCTTTCTCCCCTAAGCCTCATTCTCCCCTGCGGGAAAGGTTTAGTCTTTCCCCCCCGACCACCCACCGTGAACCTAGACGAGGTGGTCCGCGACGCGTCGGAGCGCCCAAGATTGCCCAATATTGCTCCAAGAGTGCTTCATGCACTGCAATGACACATCCAATATGCCCCAATAATATAACGCAAGATTGCCCAATATGGCTTTCAAGATGCTTCGGGGGCCCCGAGGTCGCCCCGAGTCGGCTCCAAGTGGCCCAATGGCCCACCAGGAAGGCCCACCACTAGTTAGACGTGTTCTTACATTTCAAAAGGGCGGAACTGTGGAAAAGATGGGTACGGGCGAAGGTGGCAAGAGATGGCGGTAATCAGGAGGGGGGCAGGGCAAGAGAAGAGGAGGTGCACCTAGGAGGACACGTGCGGCCAGGGTGCGCAAGGACAAAAAAAAACGCGCCATGAGGTGGAACGGGCGCTGGGCGTGCGCGGCGGGGGGGGGGGGGGCAAGCGGGGCGGCAGGCGGGCGGGTGGCGGGCGGGCGATGGGGGAAGGGGAGGGCGGGTAGATGGGAGACGGAGGGGGGGGGGGGGGGGTACTTAGGGCACGCGCGGGCAGTGGGCAGTGGGCATGGGCGCAAGGGGTGCGTGGGGGTGGGTGGGTGGGGGGTGTGGGAGATGCTTAACTCGCGCGCTTGACAATTTGCTTAAAAAACACGACGCGCATGAGTCAACGCGAGTCGTGGTCGCGTCATTTTGCTTAAAAAATGCGGGTGCGGAAGCAAAACGTCGTTGGCGATCGCGCCACTTAGCTTACATTTTGCTTACATTTTGCTTCAACGACCTTACATTTTGCTTCAACGACCTTACATTTTGCTTAAAAAACACGAGTGTGGAAGCAAAACGTCAAGGTCGTTGAAGCAAAACGTCAAGGTCGTTGAAGCAAAAAGTAAGGTCGTTGAAGCAAAAAGTAAGGTCGTTGAAGCAAACTGTAAGGTCATTGAGCTTAAAAAACGCGGGTAACCAGCAACGCGACGCATGCAACAAGCTAAACCACTGAAGCTAATTGAAGCTAATTGAAGCAAATTGACCCCGTTGAAGCACATTGTGCTTCAATTTGCTTACTTTTTGCTTGCAAGTTGCTTACAATTTGCTTCGCTTTAGGCGTTTGCAGGTGTTTGCAGGTGTTTGCAGGTGTTTGCAGGTGTTTGCTGGCGTTTGCGGGCGTTTGCAGGCTAACGCCCGCAAGCGTCGGGTGATTCTGGCGCGCGGGGGTTGCGCAAACGCAAACGCGGGCGCGCGGCAGGAGCGGGCGGACGAGGGAGCGGGCGCGGGCGCGGGCGAGGGGCAGTGGGAGGGAGGGCAACGGCGATTAGGTAGGACGCGCGGGAAAGAGAGCGAGGTGAGGGGCAAGAAGAAGTCGGGTGGCGGAGGACGCAGGAAGAAGGAGAGAGAGGAGAGGGAAGGGGGAAAGGCGGGGAAAGGATCATGGAAAAGAAGAGGAACGAGTCACGCGGGTTCCTAATGCGTCTCCATTATGGTTCCAAGATTGCCCATATGGTAAGGGTATGGGGTTGTTTCATAAGCTTCAGTGCATCAGGGCTTCACCGCTTTAAATTAGCATGAGTGTAAGCATTATGCGAATGCGACTCTCGCTTTAGCGCCGACCACATTCGTCTTAACAGCCCGCCAAGTACCTTGCACAATGCGACCCACACGGGTTTCAGAACTGGAACCCCTAAGACCCTGAGACTCATACCACCATGTGATCCTGGCATGCCGTATACGGCCATGTATATGCACCAACTACACACATATCCTGGGGCGCCAGAAGAGGGGATACATGTTTCAGCCAATCGTGTCGGCCGAGAATTCGTGCCTATTGGCCAAGAGCGCCGATGCGAGCTGACACGTCGTCGCAGCGGCGCTGCTGCAGCACGCCACTGACGCGTAAAAGAGCGGCGCTAGCAATTATTCAAGCACTGCGGATGCATCGATCGATGCATTCAACCGTGTCGTCGTCGTCGTCGTCGTCGTCGTCGCCGTCGTCATCGTCGTCGCCGCCGCCGCCGCCACCGTCGTCGTCGTCGTCGTCCTCGTCGTCGTCGTCGTCGTCGTCGTCGTCGTCGTCGTCGGCGTCGGCGTCGCCATCGTCGCCCGATGGATGGCGCGATGCATCATCCGATACGCCGTACGTCTACTGGTGCGCCCGCGGCGGGGCATCAGCCCCCTGCATGGCCCTCACGGCCTGCACGGCCCCGCGCGGCTGCGCCGCGCTGATCAGCTGGTTCGTCTCCGCGAGGCGGTCGGACACGAGCGCTAAGCGGTCGGCCACGAGCTGCAGGCGCTCCAAGACGTCATCGAACTTCCTCTCGATGCGCTCGATGTGTTCGGTCTTCGTCTCCATGATCTGCTCCATCGCGTCGGTGATGGTCTGCGTGTGCTGCTCCAGCGCGTCGGTGATGGTCTGCGTGTGCTGCGCTGCCGCCGCTGGTGCTGGCGGTGCCGCCGCTGGTGCTGGCGGTGCCCCCGCTGGTTGTGGCGGTTCAAGTCCTGGAGCTGGCAACGCTGGCTGATTCTGCTGGTAGTTGTAGTCCGTGTAAACTCGTACGATCTGCTGCCGTCCGCGCGTAAATTGGCCCAGCTGATTCCACTGGCCCTGGGTCCTGCTAAGATGCCTGTTCCCCGTCAAATGGTCCGCTGTCACTCGGGTACCTGCATTCGAACACAAATAGCACCGCCAGAACTGGTCGGTGCGGCTCCACTCCATAAACGGCGCATCGGTCCACGTCCCGTCCTCAAACATCACTGACTGCGGGCACGTCATCTCGGTCTCCGTGTACAGGTAGGCGGCCATGCCGCCGCACTCCACGAACGAAAAAGCACAACCTGTGGTCGCCACAACGGCTTGGGCCCAAATGGCTGTCATCGTCGCCACGGCTGGATCCACTGTGTGGCCGAGGACCCCCATCCTGATCCCCCTCATCGGCCCTATAATCATACTCACCATCATCGTGTCCCGTGTCCTTACCACGCCCCGAAGCGGGGGCGGAGACGCGCGGCGCTGTGCATTCAACAAACGAGGGCCAGCGAGGACCCATGCTAAGCATCATAGGGCATGTGCCGCTGCGGATTCAACACGACGACCCACATGCACGCTGCGGGTAAACATATTCACAACAAAGGCCGAACGCGCGCAGCGGGTTCAAAACAAGGAAGGCCCAGACGAAGGACGAATGCGCAGGGAGCGCATGGCGCTGCGGGATCAAAACGAGGACCTAGCCTGCGTGTGTTTGGTGCTGCGTGGTTGTATATGTGCGGTGGGTGATGTGTGCTTGTTCGAAGCTCGGCTATAGCGCATGCGTCCGCCGACCACGCGCGGGCCTCGAGCAGCATGAGTTAGGTTTGTTCGACGGTGCGGGGGTTCTGAGGTATCCCCAAGATAGGGGTATTCCCAAGATAGTGTAGCATTGGATGGTGAGACGACACGACGATAAGACGATACGACGACACGACGATAAAGACGCCCAAAGACCGCCGAGATCGAGCGACATTTGGCCCACAGACCGTTTCCTTAAACGTTTTTTGAAGGAAGGGGGAGGATACAATTTTTTGGCTCGGTTGTTGGAAGGGGCCCCAAGGCGAGCTCCCAAGTGATGCGCCTTGATGGGCGGAGACCAAGGTGGGGCGCTCGGGCTTCAGGAAGGGGGGCCCTGAGGGGAGCCAATCGGGGCACCGTTGAATGGCACAGCGCGGCATAGCTAGCTATGAGCCAGGGGTGATAGTTACAGCGCTGGGCGGTGGGACGGCACAACGATATGACGATGCTACGGTACATCGTATCGGTTTATCGGCTTGTCTGTTGATCACCTGGCGGTACCATATATCGTCTTATCATCTTATCGTTTGGCGGCTTTCCACACCGTTGTATCGCCTTACCGTCTTGTCGTATTATATCATTTTATCGTTGTATCGTCGTATAGGCGCATCGTCTAGCTTTGAAACAGCAGGCCCCATAGTTGCCCACAATGTGTACATATATGTGTGTATATATATGTATATGTATGTGGATGTATGTGCGTGTGCGTGAGCTTTTCTATCCACGATGACCAGTGACAGCTCCTACCATGCCTCCAGGAGCCCTCCATGTCTCCAACGCCCCAAGGCTGCTCCCAGGAAGTCCCCAATGCTCTTGCACTGGTTTGAGACAGCCACCCCACGAAACCACACCCTGCAAAACCACTGACAGGTTTAATGTGTTGTGCAGTTCCACCGCGTCATGCCCGATGGGCCTTCAAGACTCCACGCTGGCTCCAAGATGGCCCAATAGAGCCTCACGAGGCGTCCAGGGGGTGGGTGAGGGAGGCACGGTGAACCCACGAGCGCCCACTACCACCCGCAGCCCACGAGAGCCACATCAGGAACACGAGCCCAGACGAGCAAATTTCCAACCAGCAAAGGACATTGATGTAGTGTGGTTATGATGTAAGGGCAGGGCAATGGCATGGCCTTCGGGCACTGCTGGGCGTTCTGGCGGGGGGGGCAATGAGAAATAGGCCCCACCAATAGGGTTGGTAGGCAACCGTGCCAGCACCCAAGGGGCATTGCGGGAACAAAAAAATGAAGGCAATCGAGTGAGGCAGTGACGACGCGCACAAGTGTGCGACTGGCGAGGCACACGCAATCCAAGTCAAACTGCCCCGCTCTAAATGGCGATGCGCAGAGGGAGGCCGCTGCCGCGGCAAGGACGCTCTCAGCTTCAACGCACATCTCGCATGGCGCGGCGGATGCTCATCAACCCGCCTTGTGGGCATTGGCCGCTGACCAAACGTCAGACGATTAGACCAAGCGCCAACCGTGCCGTCGTACTTGGTGCCAAACACACACTCACCAACAAGAGGGGCAGCCTTAAACAGGCGCATCTGGTAGAGGAATAGCGCGCCGCGCAACCCTTGCGGGAGGCGCCATGCCATCATCATGGCAATGCGTGGGCGAACTGATATCTTCGCCCTCGTCGCAGTAGTAGTCTGCCGAGACGTTGTCAGACTGGTCATCTTGCGAATCAGACTGGTCACCCTGCGAGTCGAACTGGCCACGCTGCTCCAGCAGCTCCATCGCGGGCTCTGCGGTCCGCTCTAGCAGCGGCAGCACCACGCCCCGACGCCTCTCGTTCAGCCTGTCCCGCGACGTGCTCCTCAGCTCGTGCAACAGCTGACGCCTCAGCCTTGTATTCTCGTCCGTCAGGTCGTCGATCCTCGCTCTGTACATGGCTGCCATATCGATCAGTCGGTCAGCCGCCGCGCTCTGCATACGGGCGGTCCTCTCCGCCGCGCGAGCATGCGCCTCGACCGACGACGACGACGACGACAACCCTTGTCGCTCGCGTCGGTCGTCGTCGCCGTCGCATTCGCTGTGGATCCCTTTCGCATTCGTCGCCGCCCTTTGTCGTGTCCGCCATTGCCGTCGGTCGTCGGCGCGTCGTCGTTGTCGCCCCTCGTCGTCGGTGTCGCCCTTGTCAGTCCTCATAGTCATCGTCGCCGTCGTTGGCCCCTATCGGTGCCCTCGTCGTCGCCGTCGTCGTCGAGCTTTGTCGTTGCCGCCGTCGTCGTCGCCGTCGACGCCGATCTTGGTCGCCGATGTCGTCGGCCATTGCCGTCGTCGCCGCCGCCGCCGCCGTCGATGCCGTCGTCGGGCAGTGACGAGGGCCGACTGTCGACGACTCCGACGGCGTCGGCGCTGCATGGTGACGAAGACGACGGCTCTGGCGACGACACGCACCGACGACGACGTGCACGACGGCCGACGGCGACGAATACGGTTGGAGCCGACAAAGGCAACAACCGTATCCGTCGCCGTCGGCCGTCGTGCACGTCGTCGTCAGTGCGCCTCGTCGCCACAGCCGTCGCTTTCGTCAACATGCAGCGTCGGCACCGTCGGAGCCGTCGCCAGTCGGCCCTCGTCTCGTCACTGCCCGACGACGGCAACGACGGCGGCGGCGGCGGTGGCGACGGCGGCAGCGGCCGACGACATCGGCAACAAGAATCGGCGCCGACGACGACGACGACGACGATGGCGACAACGACGAAATTCGACGACGACGGCGACTACCGACGACGACACAGAGCGACGACGACAGGCGCCTGCCACTCGGCCAGCGTCGGCTGGAGCGCCAACGCGTGGCGCAGGCGCTCGTCGTATGCAGCGCCGCCACCCTGGCGCGGCGATCTCGAGCGGCTCGGCTGGGCGGCCGCCGTGGTTGGGCCCGCGGCGCCAGCCGCGAGCAGCGGCGACGCCGTCTCTGCCCCGCGCCCCGTCACCACCATCAGTTGCCACCCCTGCGCGAAAGGGCAACCAAGCACCGTCGGGCTTGCAGGGGGCGCAGGAGTCGCCACAGCGGCCGCTTGCCCGTCGTCTTCGGCGGGCGGCGCTCCAGGCAGGAATATTGCCGCACTCATGGGGCCTGCGCCTGGCTTGGTGCGAATACCCTCGCACGGTGCGCAATGCTTCGCCCAGGGCACACAGCGCCCCGTAGATATCTGAACAAAAAATATTATGCTACATAACGGACAATGGCTTTTGGGGGGTTGTGGCTTTGAGGCCCAAAGTCCAGAATCCGATGCAATTGCTACGTTGAAACCAGACAGGTATATATATATGATAAGCCCTAGAAGCATGCCCAACGAACAGCGCGTGCCACGTAACCAATACATGCGCCATACAATGCCAGCCATATACAGTCGGCACGCCTTACGAGCCACATGCACCGATAAACCATGAGCAATGCATACACCATTATGAGCCACATCAGCCGTACATGCCCTGGACGTCCTACGCGACATGTTTACAATATCAATTGTCTGACCCTCATACGACATATGGGCACATTGCACCCTATAACGTCGGTAAGCT